ATTTCAGTTGCCCAGCTGAAGTTGAACAGAACCAGGTTGTAACTCCTTGCTTCAGCTCTCATCCTGTAAACACGTATTCTATTTGTCCCATGTTCTTCGCTGATTTCACTCTTTACATTTGCCTCCAAGCAAAGAGCTAGAGTGCTGTCCAGGATTCTAAGCACAAGAAGGCTATGTTGTGCCTCCTGGGAACACAAGGGATAGATACGCTTCCTTCAGGTATGAGTTCTGGTGCTGTTGGTTGTGAGTTCAATGTTAATGAATTAACTATGCATTAAATAAGGTGTCTTTAATCTGAAATGCAAGTGAAACAAGGTTATGTATTGATCAGTTGAGAATACTGTGACCAGAGGCATGCAGGAACTTTGAAAGTGAAAATCATTCAGTCGTGCCTGACTCTTTGCTACCCCATGGCCTATACAATCCATGGGCTTCTCCAGGCCAGAATACTGGAGTGGGTAGTCTTTCCCTTCTCCAGGGGATCTTGCCAACCCAGGTATCAAACCCAGGTCTCCCACATTGCAGGCAGATTCTTTACCAGCTGATCCACAAGGGAAGCCCAAGAATACAGGTTACCTAGTCTGACTGCCATTCCCTGGAAACAATGGTCCAGTATTCATAAATTCAGGTGGACTGTGGTTACTTTGTAGAACATAACTGTCATGGATAATGAGAATTTTGTGTGTGTGTGGTATTTCTAAGAGCTTTCAAGATTACAGATACTTAGCAACTTTGAGGTGTCTGAACTGCAGAATCAAAACTTCATAAAGCAAGTGCATGGGCATAGTTCAGGGTCCTTTGTGGCAACACGGGATTCACAGGGATGCAGTGACAGTTTGTTTAATCTCACTCAACACCCACATTAAACAGAAAAAAAATCAAAAAGTTATTTGACACCTGAATTCATATTGTTCATTTGCAAAGTTTTCCTTTTCTGTCTGCGAAGTCTTCTCACACTTATGTTTAATTCTCACAAATAGAGCAGGCTGTTCTCTAAAGTTTGAAAACCATAATTCTAAAACAGCTATGCCCAAACCTGGCTTCACAATAAGTATCAAATGGGGAGGTTTTTAAAAATACTGATTTTGATGTCTCACCCTAACCCTCCTGCCTCAGGGTGCTGCCTGGCAATCTGTACTGTGGAGAGCAGGGAATTTTGTTGATGGGCTAAACATGTAAGAATCGTTAGCTGTTAGCTGTTAGCTTTGGCATGTGGAGCAGTGCTATGGTCTGAATGTTTGTGCAACCCACCAAAATTCATATGTTGAATCACTCACCCCAAAGGTAATGTGATTAGCACGTGGCACCTCTGGGAGGTCATGAGGTCAAGAGGCAGGTGTTCTCATGAATGGGATTAGTGCTCTTACAAAAGAGACCCTGCAGGACCCCTTCTATCTCCATCACATGATGGTATAAAGTCTTAAATCTGGAAGAGAGCTCTCATCTGACAATGCTGGCGCCATGATCTTGGGCTTCCCATGCTCTAAGAAATAAATTTCTGTTGTTTATAAGGTATCTGATCTATAGTATTCTGCTATAGCCGCCCAAACAGGCAGTATTCTCAACAATGGTAGGGCAAACTGAAGCCCCCTGGTTATGTTATACGAAACATCTCTAAAGACACATTCTATAGTAATTTTCCAAGATATTTGTGGTCAAGATTTGCCACTACCCTTCAGCTTTTAGAATTACACTTTAATACAAAGGAACTGTTGCTCCCATATTCAACTGCCTTCTCAATATTTCATGAATGTGTAACAGACATCTCAAGTTCAAAGTGTATAAAACTGAGCTCATCTTTCCCCTCAAACCTCTCTGACCACATCTCAGATCATGGCAACTTAATCACTCCAATTGCCGAAGCCAAAAATGTGGTGTTATTTTTTAGTTCCCTTTGTTTTCTCATTCCTCACACATATTCAATGAGAAAATTGAATCTCCGTCCACCATCTACATGGTATGATCCAGTGCAGACCATCTTCCTGGCTCTTACCTGGATTATTAATTACTTAAACTCAGTCTCCAAACAGGCTTCCTAACTCCTATACTCCTATTATACATATACATATTATTCATATGCATAAACATATTTGATATATACCTACATTTATATATGTGTGTGTGTGTGTGTGTATATATATATATTATATATTTGTATGAATATATCTTCTAACTCTTTTCTACCTCTGCTCCTAGACAGGCATTTCCCAACACAGGAGCAAACGTGATCCTATTAAAGAAAGCCAGGTGGCCTCTACCATTGCTTAAAACTCTCCCAGGTCTTCTGAACGCACTCGGGGTAAAAACCAGGGCCCCGACACCGTGTGAGGACCCCTGACCCTTCCTCTCCTGCCCCCGCCACTTGATTACTTCCTGCTTTCCTGTACTTGCAGCTCGCTCACCACACTCCAGCCACACTGGATCTGCTGCTGTTTTCTGAACACACACGCAACACTCTCTCAGGACTTGGCATTTATTTCCTCGGCCCGGAAGGCTCTTTCCCTAGATATTCACTGCCAGATTTTAAGTAGTAAATCCTCCTCTACCATGCCTCCTGCTTCAATTCAGTATTTCCTTTTTCTGTTTATTTTGCTCCATGAAATGCTGACCTCCTGACACAGCGTTATCCAATGTAAACTTTTTGCAATGATGGAATAGGTGGCTATGCAGTAGTTAAACTGTGGCTAGTGAGACTGAGGAAATGGCTTTTAATTTAATCTTATCGTAATGAATCAATTCAGATTTATACAACTTGTCTCAAATTGTTTAGCTATATTAATTTCAATTAAACGTAAATCTAACTAGTGGCTACTACACTGGAGAGCACAAATCGTCTAGAATCCTTTTGTGTTTGATGATGAAGGAATCAAGTCTTTGTTACACTATTTACACACAATTTCACCCAGCAGGTGGCTCAGTGGGCAAAGAATCTGCCTGCAACATAGGAGACACAGGAGATGCAGGTTTAACCCCTGCACTGGGAAGGTCAGGGCAGCCCACTCCAGTGTTCTTGCCTGGAGAATCCCACGGACAGAGGAGCCTGGCAGGCTACAGGACATAGTGTCGCAAAGAGTCGGACACGACTGAAGTGACTGAGCACATACAGGTTGAAAAAACCATCTTTCCTTCACTGTACATGAATGCTACCTTTGCAATGAATCAACTGTCCAAATATGAGTAAGTCTATTTACAGATTCTCTATCTTGTATCATTGGTCTATTCAGTTTTCCTTCTGTCCATCACAAGCTGTTTTACTCAATTTATCAGCATAATGTCTATATTATAGCTGGTAGACTTGAGTCCTCCAACTTTATTCTTTAAGATTGATTTAGTTCTTCTGGCCCCTTCAAATTTGCTGGTAAAGTTTAGAGTCTGCTTGTCAAGTTTCACCAAAACAATTATGAAAGTGTTAGTCATTTAGTTGTGTCCAACTGTTTGATCCCATGGACTGTAGCCTGCCAGGCTCCTCTGTCCATGGAATTCTCCAGGCAAGAATGCTGGAGTGGGTTGCCATTTCCTACTTCAGGGGATATTTCCAACCAAGGGATCAAACCCAGGTCTCCTGCATTGCAGGTGGATTCTTTACCATCTGAGGCACCAGGAAAGCCCAGTTATACCAACCAACAAACACCCTGTTGAAATTTTAACTAAGGTTTGCACTCAGTACCAAGTTGGGAAGAATTGACATTTACATCACCATATTGAGTTTTATAATCAATGAAAATTTTATATTTCTCCATTTAGGACTTAATTTATCTCAATAGTATTTTACAATTATCTGTGTAAAAGCTATGCACAACTTTCTTTAGATTTATTACCATGTATTTGAGATTTTTGATGCTACTAAAAATAGAATCTTCTAAAACTTCATTTTAAATACTTATTGCTGATATACAGAAATAAAATTAACTTTTACCTTAACTAGATATCTAGCAATCATTCTGAATTTTAATACTCTGTATATTGTTCAGAAAACTCTCAGTATATAACCTGGCCATCTACAAACAATGAGAGTCATAGTTTTTCTTTCCTAGTATGTAAGTATTTCATTTTTTTCTCTTGCTTTCTTGCACTGGCTAGGACCTCCAAAAATAACAGTGAACAGAGTGATCATAGCAGGCATCCTTGCATTAATGTTGGTGACAGGGGTAGAATTTTCAGTACTTCACAAAAATCTGTGATATGTACTGTAGGTTTTTTTAATGGGTCCTCTTTAACAAATTAAGGACACTTCCTTCTACTGGTAATTTACTGAGCTTTCATTTTCTTTTTATCATGAATGGATGCTGCATTGAATCAAACACATTTTCCAACACTATTAAGTCCTATATAAGTTTATATAAGTAAGGAATAAAATACATCCCTACCCAAAGTTAAGAAAATATTTTCAAAGCTTTCATATGCATCAATCTTTTTTCTTTCATTATTATTACTTAAAATATTTTTCAGCTTTATTTATGTTGGCAAAATTGTGTATATTTAAGGTATATAATGTGATGGTTTCATATAAATACACACTATGAAATGCTCACCCTAAACAACCTAATTAACATTCATTACCACCCTTGGTCACAGTTTTTTCTCTTTTCACCCCCTACTCCTCTCCCTTCAGACACTAACCGGTTTGCTCTCTGTGTCTAGGAGCCTGTTACTCTTTTGTTATGTTTGTTTATTTGTCTTCTAGATTCTACATACAAGGGAAATCATACGTGTGTATCAATCTTCTCAGAGGAATCAAGTCTATCCTTTTTGGATTGGGACTTAATAAGATACAATTATTATTAGATATTCTACACAGATAGTACATGTATAGAAAATAATGACATTTTAAATCACTACCATTAAATTATTCTTTTAAAGTTTGACTTTAAGTTCTTTTACTGAACAATATACATTTTAATCAAGTTGGAAATTACGTCAACTTCTTATTGTTTCATTCTAATTTTGTGTTTAAAGTGTTCATGCAAATTTAACTCTGAAATGAAAGTTGATTAACTCACCAGTCATATTGCAATATAGAAGAAATGGTTCAAGGGGACCACTTCCATCTGCATCTATGTAGTAAAACCCTGAAGTATTTCCTTTATGCTTATAGGCTTCACATGACTGCTCGTAGATAGCTGTAAAAAAAAAAAGTGAAAGTGTCCTCATAAGTGAAACAGTATAAAATTAATTCCTTAAATGTTAGTTTGGACACAAAATATTCCAAGTCTTGAAATTTAGTTTGCACATTACTGACCAGGAGAAAACGTAATACATACTTTAAGACAAAACTCATTTTTTAAACAAATATGGATGAAAGAAGATTAGATAGATAAAAGAAAGAATGGGATTGTATTTTATGGCATTTCATGTTATTACTAAAGGAATACAAGATTATTCATTTAAAATGAAAATTTAGTTTATTTTTACATTAGGTAAAACAACAAAATAGAAGGTAGGTGTTTTAAATGCTAAGATTCTTATAATGTGACCTCCATTTTGGACGTCCATCCAAATGGATCGTTCAACAACCACTTTGGAATTTCTAATTCTAGTATCATCTTGTAAAAACCTAACATCTGAAGCACAATAATGTAATCTCCTTAGATAAGCTGTGTTATCCAAAAATTAAACAACAGAAAAGCTTTAAATAATGCTGCAACTAGCCGCCTTTCTCACATAAATCTATAGATAAAATCTTTTTTCCCCATAAAACAAGTATGACTTACAAAGCTTCTTGTGAATAATTTTAAAAGTAATTTACAAAAGAAACTTTTTCTAACGCTCTGTAATGAGAATTTAAGATAATTAAAATTCAAAGCAAAAGAAATACTTGTATAAGATATGCCCTCAGTTGGTCTAAATGTGTTTTGATCCATAATTGGATATTTTTAATTTTATAATTATATATTTGCCATGTACAAGGATTGATATTAGCAACTCTATATGATGCACTCATTTCACTGGACACTTGGCCAATTGTAATGGTGATTTCCATCAAGCTTTTAATTTTGTGGAATGAGAAATAAACCATCCCTTGAATGTCCTTCCTTGATCTAGTCTCAATTTTTCAAAACTATGTTAATGAGTTTTTAGACAATATGAAATACTGTAACTAATGTTTTTTAGCGTTACAGAGATTTCAGATAAAGATACAAATTTACTTCTCTACTCCTCCACAATTCCTTGTCTGTTTTGCTCCTATTGTATATTACATAGGGAGAGATATAAGATGGATTGTTTTCTAGGCACATTTGTATTTTATGCAGTGAAATGGGCATGTGAAAGGGTTAATTTATATATTTCTGTACGCTCATACATGTGTTGACAAATTGCCTGAAAGAGGCTGGGATGCATACATAACTTTGCCATGAGGGCTGGTATTAGAAAGGACATACAACTGTGTGAGTACTTTTGCTTTATGTGTATTACTTCACTTTTTAACATGACTGTTTAAAATATTACTTTCTAGTAAAATCTTTTAAAAGACTCCATTGCTGACCTGCCCTCTACTCAAGCTAATGATGGTGATGACTTCATTATACCCAGGTTTGTTATCTTGGCCCCATTTATCAGAATGGTTTTTGGCAAAAAATTTTGACTCCTACCTGCTCAAGAGCCTAATAAATGAATTCAACGATTGGATCAAGTTGTGGGCTAGCGATGAGAATAGTTATTTATCATCTAATTTTTTTTGGCTCAGAGAGGTTTGTGCTTATATTTAGATTCAGTCACAGCTAACAGTTGAAAATAAACAATTAGTTAAAACACATTCAATTAGCTTTGTGTTTTGAATTAGTTGCTGTAATTGGGATGGTGGCGGGTGTGAAAAATTAAAATACACTGTCATTCTGCTACTGGTGATCCAGGGTAAGACAGTTGGCCTGGCTTTAGCAACAGCAGATGTCCTTTCTGATCCTACAAGGCATTCCAGTCCACACAAGTTGATTGTGGAGGTGTGAGGGTGAGCCCAGAAGCTCCCCACCCCAACTCATGCCCTCTCCAGCTCTGAGTCAGGACTTCTGAGGGTCCCTCGTGGGGCCTCCAGGGCTGGGAGCCCGGAGTTTCAATCTCAGCTCTGGCAGGAGTACAAGGCAGTTCACAGTGACAAGAAGGGAGACAGGAGACTGAGGACTCCACCTAAGGCCCTTGCCTGAAGTGACGGCTGCATGTCAGAGGACTAGGAGTTAAGTTGCTCACAAAGTCAGCAATAATAATGAAAAAAAAATGAGAAGGGAAAAAAAAATGGGCATTTTTGCTGAACAAGTGGATAAGAAAATGACGTAAGTCTTAACACCACACACACACACTTTCACCAGAAAAGAAGGCACAGCTTCTAAAACAGCAAAAGAAGATTGGCTGTGGTCCCAGCCTCTGGAGTATAATTACAAACATCCGCATGCTCACTGTGTCTCAACTGTTTCAGGAGCGTTGGGCAAGGTGATTAATCTCTCTCTGCTACCTAGTGAGCTAGAGATGATAACAATACCCGCCTACTAAGGTGGTCATCAGAAGGAACTGAGCTGGGACATAAAATACTAGAGCAGTGCCTGGCACTTAGAAAACACTCAATGAAGCTATTATGATTAATATCATTTTCACCATCCTTATTAACAGAGTTGCAAGAGGATTTAAGGGCTTCCCAGGTGGCTCAGTGGTAAAGAATCCATCTGCCAATACAGGAGAAGCGGGTTTGATCCCTGGGTGGGGAAGATCTACTGGAGAAGGGAATGGCAACCCACTCCAGTGCTCTTGCCTGGGAAACCCCATGGACAGAGGAGCCTGGAAGGCTACAGTCCATGGGGTTGCAAAGTGTTGGACATGACTGAGTGACTAAGAGACGTTAGGGATTACCTATTTGGCACTGTAGTTTATGTTTATCCTTAGCTACCTTTTTCTCCTACATGTATTTTCCCCTTGCTGGCTCTCCTACTCTTTTCTGTCTTATGTGTTTCTATAAGCTACCTTGACTACTTTATGAAAAGAAGTGTGGATTAAAAATAAACTGGAAATCAACTGAAGGCTAAGGTTCAGGGTTGTGCGCCCGTGACATATAAACATATACACAACAAAGAAAAGGACATGAACGGGAATGGGGACAGAGGCACGAGCAGGCAGAAGTGTTTGGCTTACAGTTGTGGCACGTCGCTCCCCTGTACCCCGTGTTTGCACAGTCGCAATGAAAGGTGTCCCAGGACTGGGAGCACTCACCGCCGTGTTCACAGTAGTTCGGCAGACACCTAAAAGGAGGCGCAGATACAGTTACCACTATTCACCGTGAAATATCACAAAATACTGGTCAATTATACCTGATCATGCGAAAGAAGAATGTTAACAGCAATCTAAAGAGTAAATAGAGCGTTACTAATGGTCATCCCGTGCCTCTCAGGTGGTACAGCAGGAGTCGTGGGTTTGATCCCTGGGTCGGGAAGATCCCCTGGAGAAGGAAACGGCAACCTGCTCCAGCATTCTTGCCTGGAGAATCCCTTGGACAGGGAAGCCTGGCTATAGTCCCAGGGTCGCAAAGAGTCGGGCACAGCTGAGCACACACAATGGTCATTCCGTCTGTTGTTATGGGATCTTAATCACAGAACTCTAAGTTCATTAGATTTCAGCCAATTCTCAGGTAGCTGTGACTGTTAATTTTCAACACGTCCTATCATATCATAGCCCTCTCTTTTCCCTAAGAGACGCAACAGTGATTTAGTCTGTTGCCAGAAACATCCATAGTTTACACAAAAGAACATTTAATCATATTGATTTACTATGCTGAACATTTAAAGGAAGAGGCTATAAAGAAGGGGGAAGGAGAGAAGGAAGTGGGGGGAGGGCCATCTCTGTTTCTGGTGCACCCACCAGGAACGCCGAGGATGCACCGGGGGCCCCAGCAGTGGGCCCGGGTGCGTCAGGGTGCTGAACCAACGTCACAGCCACTCCCAGGACATTTTACATTTTGAAGAGAAATAAGGCAGACTCAACATCTGGCAAGCACTGTGCCACTGACTAGCTTGAGGTAGTTAAATTTCCACATTATCCATGGCTGATTCATGTCAATGTATGGCAAAAACCACTACAATATTGTAAAGTAATTAGCCTCCAACTAATAAAAATAAATGGGAAAAAAAATTCCACATTAGATCATAACAGGTTCCTTTTAATCATGTCTTATCTTTGAGAAGCTGGCTGTTCAGTAGCTGACACAAAGTAACGCCATGTGAAATCATGTTGAAAAAGGTTAAGGGCAGCAGTGTTTGATGTGTGATTCCAAGTTTTGAAAGGTTGTACACTACATTAAAAATAAAGTTAAAATTTTTCTAATTTTACATATATATAAGTAATAAATGTATAAATTACTTTTTCAAAAGGTTTCTAAATTGTTAGGACATAAACAGTTGTAAAGTTGCCTGGAACGAAGTGACTGTTTAAATGAAAGCATGAGTTGTCCCTTTTGACTTAGAGCACTGAAAAAAACCACTGAAATGCATAAAGCACCGTGGACAAAAAAAGTTAAAGAGCTTCTGGTATCAACTCAAATCACCCTGATCAAATAACTGATGCTTTTTAGAATTTAAATGGAAAGTTATAATGAGACCAAGGCTTGAAATGCTCTCATTCACCCCAGAATAAAAAATAAATTACAGAACCTGTCAAGAACATATTCTTGATGAAGTTTCTGCCATCTCCTTTTTAAAAACTAAGATTGGGAACTTCATGTTTTGCTTACAGGATTTTCCCAATTGTAACATGACCATCACATCGCATAGTTTGGGTGACTGAACCTTCCCGCTGGTCCCTGGTAACTATTACCCACTGGGGGTGAGCTCCCTGCTTCTGTGAGAGTCGACCCAGAGTGCCTTGCTATAGGCCTTCCTCCAAATTAGGATTAATGATCCCAAGCTGGTGTGGCTCTAACTATGGAGATGGTCACTGTTATTCCCCACATCAAGCCAATTGAAGTTTATCATCTCAATTCTCCCTTACATATTATCTTTCATTATAGAAAGAACCGTTTTATCTACGAATTGAGTTAAACAAGCACATATTCATAGGGAGGAAATGATGTCCTAATACATTACTAAGTTAGATCATAATGACTTTTTTCTACAAATAACATAGTATCTACCAGTGTTCAAAACAGGAGCAACAGACAATGATACAGTAAATGGTCTTCAGATATAACAGATGTGTGTTTATGTTGACAAAATGTTTCATACAAATAAAAACTTATTTTTAGAACTCAGAATTAATGTACTTGCTCAAAATATATACTGAACATGACTACATGCTGGATTAAGTTTGTCACATTGCTTTATTTTTTTTTTTATTTAATCTGGAATTGCCATGACATTTCATTGAACTCAATAATTAAAAATAAATTCCCTGATCAGTGGCAAGATTATTTGGCTACAGTTGCCCATGCCTAAAAACACTTTTAAACTATAAACTATCAACTACTACTAAATTAAAAGTAACGTCGTCTACAATGAACTTCCAAATCTTGCCCAGTCATGCCCTTCATGCCCTGCACCGGAATTCATATTGAAACTACTGGATCATCCTTATACCCTCATCAATACAAAGGCTCCAAAACTTTTCCACAGAGGAGTTTCCTTTTCATTTTCCCTGCAGAGAAGGTAATGTGTTCTTAAAGGTACGCATTAGGACCGTAGCAACCAATTAAGTTCCTGTGTCTCTGTCATATTATTCAGCTGTCAGGGAAGCAAACGCATCTGACAACTAACCACATAGGTCTCTGGTTTACCGGACCCTGATGGTCTATGTTACTGTTAGGGTATCCTAAGTGACTGGGTTTAATCATATTTATGATACATTTATATGTCCTTAAAATTATAGCAGCATCCCCATCATCTTTTGGGAACTGGTAGCTATTTGTATATATAAATAATATGGTCATATCTTCTACCTAAATTTTATCACTGGAAATAAGAAGCATAAAACTAAAAGCATATTTTATTTCTAATGTAAATGTTATCTATTTCCTGTGGAACAGATGATGGTGATGGTGAGAAAAAGGAGAGAAAATGTTTGTTTTATCTACTAATTTCAACATTCTGCCAAAAGCCTGAAAACGGACAAGTCAGCATAAAGAAGGGAGACTGCCCCTACCTGTCTGTGATTCCACAGGAGTCTATCTGAAGGTCGCTGAAGTTCCCAAGGGCCCCCCGCTGAACTGAAATCAGATCTACCACCTCGTGACGGATGGAGATGAGTCTCATGCATCCCTGGAACCCACCGAGTGGACTTTTACATTTGGATCCAAAGCTGCTGTCAGGACAACCTGATAAAAACAAAACCAAAGTTGGCCAGGGTACATCACAGTGAATCGGGACTCACTCAGTATCTTCACTAAAATAGTTTTATCAGGAAAATAGGCATTTGATTATTAAATTAAAAGAGAGGAAAGCCCATTGCAGTCAGTATTCATTGGATCTAAATTACAAAGTACAATTTATACAAAGCATTTCTCTTTATTATGATACCACAGGATTCATAGGAAATGACTGCTGTTTCAATAATCATGTGCAAGTATACTGACTTGATCCCAGTTTTAGAAATACACAAATCAGCTCCAGGATCCTCACATGTCAGCCAGGAGTGTTAAATTATGCATAACTTAAATCCAGGGACTTAAGTCTTTGGGGATGCAAAAAAAAAAAAAAAAGGAGCTTAAAGGATGAAAATGTGCACTGTAGATGAGAAAAGATAAATTAGTAATGGTGAAATACCTTTCTGTTGAAGGCTATTTGGAAAAGGAGTTACAATGACTTGGAATAAAATTACAACTATTTATTTAATTAAATACTTTTCATTTGCATGTAAGAGCCACATATACTTGCATTTTAATAAATCATAATGGCTTAATGTCAAAAACATTTCACTGTTTGACTTTATTTATTCTCTGCCGCATAAAAAAATGCTCCACTTACACTGATTTCTTCCTAACATTTATCTAAGACCTGTTTCTAATTATTTAAATAATAAAGAACTATAATATTAACTATTATTGTCTGGGGTTTAATGATGTTCTAACTATTTCTCTATCCATGTGAAATAAACAATTTTATGGAGTATGAACACATATATTATACTTATGTATTTTTCATTAATCTTTCTTTGCCGTTATGGTTGTCAACCACTATTACAATTTCAAAGAATAAGAAATGAATCAGCAACTTGCTAATTCCTGTACAATCCATGCTAGTTTTCTACCTGGGAGTTTCCATTATAATTAAATATTTTGACTGCAGCTATTTCTCCTTAATGCTTTGTTTTCCCAACAAAATACATTTAACCTGGCAAAGGAAAGGCCAGGATTCATATTTAAACTGTTATCAGGCACAGTGAAATATTATACTTTAAGTAATGGAGATGCTGAAATTTAAAATTTAGTATAGCAAGAAAAGATAATGAAACCTTCGTGAGCATTTATATTATACATGATTCTATACTCAATTTCAGTGCTTCAAATCCTCCTATGGTACAGGATACAGTGACCATAATCTGGATGTGCTTTCTAGATGAGTTATTAACCAATTAAGAATGTTAACATAAAAACCGAGAGGATAATAGTTCAATAATATTTGGGGGCAACTACAATATGCCAGGAATATAAACAACTCTGCTAATCTCCTTTTCTCCAGGTGGTGTATCCTGACACATTTCAAACTATTTCAGAATAAAATAAATGGTGCGGTATGCCTCTAGGGGACAAAACTAAGCAAACTCACCATCACAAGGAGAGGTCATGGAATGTTACAGAGTGCACAGCGGTCATATTACAAGGCCCTTCACATTCCTGGCTACACTGTTTAATAAGCAAGAGATTCTCAAGAACAAAGAAGGGTTCACCCCAGGTTAGCCTCATTAGCCTGTGATAACAGACATCCACAGGTTAATATAATGCAACGGCAGAGACAGGCTCAGCACTGAACCGGTTTGAGATGTAAGTTCTAAAATATGAAGATTTCTGGGGAATACTTCATGCTGAATTAATGGATGGATCCATTACCAGAAGCAGGCAGCATGTTAAGCACCTCTGAGGATGGCAGATACATTATCACTGCATGTACCAGAAGATGCCGGTCTGATTTCATGGTGGTGTAGCCCCTTCACTAGATGGAGAGTGTCTGATTTATACAAGCGGGAGTGTGAGGATTCTGCACACAGTCTAGAGTTTCTAGTGTGTGCTTCACAGTTATTCCATCGCACAAAGACGGCGTAGGGGAATTCCCAGAAGGTAGACTTTCCTCCATTTAAATCTGGAGGACCCAGATTTAAAATTTATGGTTTATAAATAAAAGATAAAAGCTGACCTCAGTAATTTTTTGGAAAGCATACATTTGAGGAAGGAGAAAGAGTAAACAGTGGTGGCAGAGCGTGGTATTCAGCATGGTGTATGCAGAGCGCTGTGAGCCCCGAGCAGCCCGCTCTCCCAACTGTCACCTTCAAGCCTGACCCAGAAAACAGACCCAGCCAAGACTGGGGGGACAGACCGCCCTGTGCACGGCGGCAGTGAAGCCAGGTTACAGGCAGGCTGACTGCTGAGGACGGGGAGTTTGCAGTTGAATTTAGAGAGAAACAAAGAAGAATGAATTGGAAGTGTCTCAGAACATGGGCTATTTATTTACTTGAAGACAAACTGGTTACCTGAGGAAAGACTCCCACCTAGACAAAACAGACCCCAGGAATGAAGGGGACTCCCATCTGCCCAGGACAGGTTTCAGCTAGCCACCTGTCAGGTTAGCTCTAGGGTGGGAAGTGGAAAGGCTGTTCCCAGGACTGCAGGCGTTCAGCGTTAAAACCCGGGGGAGCTGGTCCCCCCACCGCCAGTACCACTCAGGCGGGGGCCCCTGAACCAGTCTGCCCTGTAGGGGCCCTGTTCCACCCTTCCTCCAGCCGTGATTCTGCCCACAGCACTGGAAGGCCTCACAGGGTCAGGTGATGGGCCCACGTGGAACTTCTCCCCTTCAGCCCACTCCCGGAGTCCAGAATTCTCACCCCAAAGACCTACTTGGGTTTCCAGGAGGAGGGACCCCTCCTCCACCAGGTCCTGGAGGAACGAGGCCTGGAGGAGGAGGCAGAACCGCGGCAGCAGGAGGCCCCTGGCTTTTCTCTGGACCCGTGCTCCCAGCCCCAGAATGTCAGGATGCCCTAGGGTTCACAAGGTGTATATTTATATTTACTGATGAGTAGAATCTCACTCCAGGATCGAACATACTCTAGTACTTAAGGGCACCAATTGAGAAGATGATTGAATAAACAGAGATATTGCCTAAGTAAACTTAAGACTGGTTATCTAAATAAAAGCCCTAAAGTTGAAATTTTATTATGGAAGTTTCCACAGTATATTGTCTAGGGACTTAGGAACACCTTAATACATGAAGGGAGGGATAAAAGCCCCATTCATTGGGGAAGATGAAGAGATGCAATGATGGAGGGACAAAGGGATGCTGGTAATGTTATCTTTCCTAACTTGGAAATGCATGTGCAGATGTGTATTTTTTAAAAATAATAATTCATATTCTTTAAATTGTGTATATGATGTAAAATGTGAATAAGACAGGGTAACAGGGTAAGAGGTAAATGGCAACTTCCTGTGTATCTTTGCAACTCTCTGATAAATCTAAAACATACAAAAATCATAAGTTCATGTAATTAAAATGGTGTGTATCATATGTATCATAATAAAAGCAAGCAAAATTATAGTGTATGTGTGATATATTTTGTTATAAAGTATGGCTGTGTGAATAACAGTCAAAATTTTCTACAAAAAAAGGTGTCATTAAATCTGAACATGAAGGGTATAAAATAATTTAAGAATGATGATTATATTTTCATGGCTTAAACTTCTATGCACTCTATTATTTTTATCATCTTTTCTGCATTATTTAACAAAATGATTGGGTTTTGTCCTTATCTCTTTTGGTGTTTCTCAATCTTCTCTTGATTAAAGTTGTTCTGTACAGATCTTCCTTGCCTTACAGTATGGCTGCATCTTGATAAACCCATTGTAAATTGAAAATATCCTAAGTCAAAACTATGTTTAATATACCAAACCTACCAAACATCATAGCTTAGCTTAGCTCCCTTAAATGTGCTCAGCACACTTACATTAGTCAATAGTTGGGCAAAGTCTACTTTGTAATGAAGCGTTAAATATTCCCCACAATTTATTGAGTACTGCACTGAAAGTGAAAACAGATTGGTTGCACCGGAGCTGAATGGTTTAAGTGTATCTGCTGTTTACCCTTGTGATTGTGTGGAAGACGGGGAGCCGTGGCTCACTGCCACTGCCCAGCATCGTGAGAGAATGTTAACATTACCCTACATGTCGCATGTCTGAGAAAAGAAAAATATTCAAAGTATGGTTTCTACTGAATGTGTATTTCTTCACACCATTGTGTAGCTGAAAAATCCTAACTCAGGAACTGTTTGTATGTCTTACCATCTATTAAAGAACCATGTTGCTTTAGGTTGCCATAAACTCAATCATATATTCCATAACGTTTTATAAACAACTTAGTTTATAAATGAACTTATAAATGAACAAAGCTTCATAAGGAAGCAATTCTATCTTTTAATATTTTTGGCATTATGCTGCCTTTTATAGCAAAGGATTATGAAGGTTTTTGGGGTTTTTTTTTCGGTTTGTTTGTTTGCTCTTAATATAAGATGCATGATTCACAGTCTGTGTACTTACTGTCAATTCTTGGAAAGGAATTTGTATATTATTGATGAATAATGAAGCCTGGGCTTTCAACCAAATTCAAAGGTGATTCCAGATAGAAGTCATGATTACAATTCAAAATAGCAAAAAGAAGAAACACCATAAGTTATGACCATGATTTCTACAGCCCTGCCTTCTGTGGGTGCTGCTCTGCGCTCAGCTGTCTCCACCTTCTTGGGGCCCTTTGGATTGTAGCCCACCAGTCCACGGGATTGGATCCTCTGTCCATGGGCTTTTTTAGGCAAGAATACCAGAATAGGTTGCCATTTCCTCCCCCCAGGTGATCTTCCTGGCCCAGGAATGGAATCTGCATATCCTAAGAACCTGTCTTGCAGATAGATTCTTTACCAGCGGATCCATTTCTAATTAATGTCAAATATTGTCTTATTTTAATTTTGCAGTGATAGAGATTCATTTCCACTTTCAAAGGTTGCTTTTTGAAGCTTTTTAGTTTAATCAAACATCCACTAGGCAAGTAAACACTTTTTGTTCTTTTAGAGAGATGTCCTGGGGTTGAAAGCTGGTGCCCTAATTCTATCAAATGTATCAGTGCATTATTATTTAGGAATGAGAAGAGGCTTCTGTGGCTAATTAAGTTAGATTATTTGTACATTGGCATAATATTGACCTGCATTGAGCAGTAGAAAAGCAATAAGGATGCTCTAGAAAAGCTAAGAGGCATGAACAGGAAAACACCGCAATGAAATGAGCCCATAAAATCTGAAAAAGATACACATGTAAGGTCCATTCAACATTAGGAAAACATAACAAAATTTAAAAGTAAGAACTGAAGAGCATGGTCTACTTGCAAGCAATCTCATTACAGAAATCATAAGCCTAAGTCAGTCCACCTCAAAGAAATACATTTTATGTCATGATTTATCATGATGATCCACTCAACATTTCCATCTTCAAAGAAAGTGAAAAATGATTCCATAACGCTGACATTGGTTAAAATATGCTGACTTCAAGATACAGGGGTAGTAACTGTGAACATGACTCAACTGCCCATATGCAGTGACTGCTGCTCTCACCTCCAAAATAAAAGGTGCCCCCTGAGTAAATCTGCTCAGGGCCCTGGGAGGGGGATGCAGAAGCCACTTGGCCGTCAACCATCACACTCAGGTAATTCCTTTTGGCAGATAAGGAGACGGAATGCCACTGTCCATCATTTAATCCAACACCTGGAGGAGACAGAATCAGTTAAAAGAGATATCTCTTAACAGTCAACACTGTAAGCAGTTGGTTAGAAATGGCAAGGTACACATCACTCAATCAAGTACAGCACTCTAACAACTCTTAACGAAAGAAAACAAGAAGCAAGAGAGGGGTGGGAGATTGGTGGGCAATCAGCACCCTCTACACTGTTGTTAGTCGCTCAGTTGTATCTGACTCTTTGTGACTACAGCACGCCAGGCTTCCCTGTCCTTCACCATCTCCTGGACATTGCTCAAACTCATGCCCATTGAGTCAGTGATGCCAGCCAACCATATCATCCTCTGTCATCCCTTCTCCTCCTGCCTTCAATCTTTCCCAGTATCAGAGGCTTTTCTAATGAGTCAGCTCTTTGCATCAGGTGGTCAAAGTATTGGAGCTTCAGCTTCAGCATCAGTCCTTCCAATGAATATTCAGGATTTATTTCCTTAAGGATTGACTGGTTGGACTTCCTTGCAGTCCAAGGGACTCTCAAGAGTCTTCTCCAACATCACAGTTCAAAAGCATCAATTCTTCAGCACTCAGCTTTCTTTATGGTCCACATCCATATATGACTACTGGAAAAACCATATCTTTGACTAGATGGACCTTGGTTGGCAAAGTAATGTCTCTGCTTTTTAATATGTTGTCTAGGTTTGCCATTGCTTTTCTTCCAAGGAGCAAGCATCTTTTAATTTCAAGGCCGCAGTCACCATCTGCAGTGATTTTGGAGCTCAAGGAAGTAAAGTTTGTCACTGCTTCCATTGTTTCCCCATCTATTTGCCATGAAGTGACTGGGACCAGATACCATGATCTTGGTTTTTTGAATGCTGAGTTTTAAGCCAGCTTTTTCACTCTCCTCTTTCACTTTCACCAAGAGGCTCTTTAATTCCTCTTCACTTTCTTCCATAAGGGTGGTGTCATCTGCCTATCTGAGGTTATTGAAATAATTGGAATATTGAAATACATGGAAATAGTGCATGATTATCTTCATGTCTTGGGGCATCAGTAGAGAGAACAAAATTCTAATTCAAGTTTGGACAATCCTGAATGGTGAAAACCTTTCAATTATTTGGCATGGGCTAATTTTCAGCTTTCATCATGTAATTTACCTTTTAAAAGTAGTGGCTTGGGAAGAGCACAGATATTTTCCAAAATTCTAGGTTATACCTAATAAAATGATTTATCTGCTCTTTTACACTTTGGTGTAGTCATCTTTTATGAGTCTAGAATATTTAGCAAAGTATATCGTCAATCATTATAGAAGTATTTAAAGAGATTATAATTAATGCTGAAAGTGTACTAGTATAATGGAAAGTTAAAAAAGCAGTGTGTAAAACCATATTCATAAAGTTGATCATAATTTACAGACTTTGTATTTGCAAATTCAACTACTTGCCATACTATATTGGTAGCCTCCAAATCAATACTCGGGGCACTTTTGGGGTCAGTCACAGAAATACACAGAGCAGAGAAAAATTCAAGTCAACTGACTTGCAAGTTTCCAGCTGAGGTCAAGCAAGGCAAAGCTTCTCGCTTCAGCTCTCCTATGGAAACCTGTCTTCACATTTTTGTGCTTTCTGTTAGTGACTTTGCTGTTTAAAAGGCCCCCTCACACAGTGATAAAGTGTTTCACATCCATATATGACTACTGGAAAAACCATATCTTTGACTAGATGGACCTTGGTTGGCAAAGTAATGTCTCTGCTTTTTAATATGTTGTCTAGGTTTGCCATTGCTTTTCTTCCAAGGAGCAAGCATCTTTTAATTTCAAGGCCGCAGTCACCATCTGCAGTGATTTTGGAGCTCAAGGAAGTAAAGTTTGTCACTGCTTCCATTGTTTCCCCATCTATTTGCCATGAAGTGACTGGGACCAGATACCATGATCTTGGTTTTTTGAATGCTGAGTTTTAAGCCAGCTTTTTCACTCTCCTCTTTCACTTTCACCAAGAGGCTCTTTAATTCCTCTTCACTTTCTTCCATAAGGGTGGTGTCATCTGCCTATCTGAGGTTATTGAAATAATTGGAATATTGAAATACATGGAAATAGTGCATGATTATCTTCATGTCTTGGGGCATCAGTAGAGAGAACAAAATTCTAATTCAAGTTTGGACAATCCTGAATGGTGAAAACCTTTCAATTATTTGGCATGGGCTAATTTTCAGCTTTCATCATGTAATTTACCTTTTAAAAGTAGTGGCTTGGGAAGAGCACAGATATTTTCCAAAATTCTAGGTTATACCTAATAAAATGATTTATCTGCTCTTTTACACTTTGGTGTAGTCATCTTTTATGAGTCTAGAATATTTAGCAAAGTATATCGTCAATCATTATAGAAGTATTTAAAGAGATTATAATTAATGCTGAAAGTGTACTAGTATAATGGAAAGTTAAAAAAGCAGTGTGTAAAACCATATTCATAAAGTTGATCATAATTTACAGACTTTGTATTTGCAAATTCAACTACTTGCCATACTATATTGGTAGCCTCCAAATCAATACTCGGGGCACTTTTGGGGTCAGTCGCAGAAATACACAGAGCAGAGAAAAATTCAAGTCAACTGACTTGCAAGTTTCCAGCTGAGGTCAAGCAAGGCAAAGCTTCTCGCTTCAGCTCTCCTATGGAAACCTGTCTTCACATTTTTGTGCTTTCTGTTAGTGACTTTGCTGTTTAAAAGGCCCCCTCACACAGTGATAAAGTGTTGTCTAGCATTCCGAGGTGCAAGAAGGCAATGATCTGCCTTACAGAGAAAAATACATGTAAGAGGTAAGCTTCTTTCAGGCATGAGTTAATGTTGGCCATGAGTTCAATGCTGGTAATTAACAATAAACATTAAAGAAGGTGTCTTCAAACACAATCATACATACGAGGTTGTGTTGATTGGTGGACAAAAATGTTGTCACTAGAGGCTCGCAAGAACCTAACCCTGTATTTCCCCTGGAAACAATGGTTTAGTATTTATTAATTCCATGTCCACAACAACTTCATAGGACGCAACTACTGCAAGTAATGAGAATTAACTCCATATATACAATTCTAATTATATTCCTGATTTTCTATAAATATGGGAAAGGGCTGAAAGGAAATGCACACAAGCATTAATATTCACATACAAGAAAATCGTGGTTGTTTTTATTCCTAGCTATAATTTTTCTGTATTTTCCAAGTTTATATACATAATAAAAATTGCTACAGTAAAAAAATCAAGGTTTCCTTATCACCTATAAAAACAGTCTCTAGAACCCCAAAGGTGGTCCCTGTGTCATGAATCAAGGAGGCCTGTGGAGCCTTTTCCTCTTAAAGGGAATTAAGTTTATAGGGTTCTGTTTTGAATACTCAGCAAACTGGTGAAATCTAAGTCTCTCTGTTGTAGATAAATCAGTAAGGTTTATGTCCACCTAATATTCAACTCTGTATGATTTTGCAGATCAAATTACTAAATAAAAATATAAGTACTCTATTAAACCTTAAAAGTCATGGGCCTCTTTCCTGATATTTTGTGCAATTTCTTTATTTCCCCAGCTATTTCTGACCACAAGCTTTCAGACAGAAAATGCATGGAAGCCGCTTTAGATGATGAAGCTCTTTGCCCTGAACTCATTTAGCATAGCACAAACTCCACCCTGGGCACCAAAGCTTACTTTTACATTATACCCATGAACCAAAAAAAGATTTCCAAAGACCCAACTTTGATTTGGTTTGTGAAAGATAATGAGAAAGACCTAAAAACTGAAAAATGAAGGATGTAGGCTAGATAATTTTGGGCATATTTTCTAAGAGTGGACTCTGAAATAGGAGACTGAATAGAGTTATATAATCTCTGACGCTATGAGATTGGACTAAAATAAATCAAATGCCCCAAATTTGTCATCCTGTGCTTCCTTTAAGAGGATACATTTAGAGTGAAAATCCTTGTACTGATCTTTACGTCACACGGATAAAAACTTCCCACCCTCCTTACCCTGCCATGGGTTTCCCACCATCTCTTTCTCAAAGCTCGGATGTGCCTGCGTACACGACTTGGCTTCTGTTTTCTCATCATAGCTTTCCACTGGCCTGGGATGACGCTTATCAAGCCACCTCTGGTGAGGGACATTTTCTCTTCCAATCTACTGCAAACTGATAACTTTCATAAAATTCAGTAAAAACGAATGACAAAAACATTAAAGAAAGAAGGCATCTAAAACACAAGCCCACTGACCATATGCTTAGATGTTGCAATGATGCCTTCTTGCTGTAACAGCTTCTAGGAGCTTACTCCCAATTTCTGTACTTATCTTGGGAACAAGTATTTTGCCGAACCAGTAAGTTCCAGGGGGCACACTCTGAGCAACTTTGTTCCGAGGGGCTGCTGGGTAGGGCCAGCAGAGTAAAGTCAAAGGCCTGGGGGATCTTCTGTCAACACAGAAGCTAACTTAGATTAAGAACACAAGTCTGCCAGGATGGCCGCTCTGAATTTGACACAGTTACATGCACCCATCTGCTCAGCGTGTGGGTTCCGGAGTTGGGCTGTGTTTGTGAGGGAACCTTCAGAAAACTATTCTTGAGCTTCATTTGTAACAGACATCACTTGCTTACGATGAGGAAACTTTTATGACCCATTGAAGGGATGTATTACTCAAGTTAAACAATGAATGACCTGTGCAATTTGTTTCACTTAACTCCACTTGATAAAAAGGATAATTTTTAAATTGGATACTATTTTTCTTTTAAGTCTACAACTTTAATATCTGAAGAGAAGTGAGCCCTTTCCAAGGCCACAACACACTGAAAGAGGGGAAGGAAAAGGTGGAATTGCAGAATATGTATTTTTTCCAATTCACCGTTTCAGGTAACTAAACGCTCATTCTAGTACACTGCTCCCAACACTCACAACTTTTGACTGTAGGGGAAGGAATACGTGTTGGTGGAATAATAATAAAAATAATAACAACAGTTCTAGTGACTATTATTCACACCAGGTGCTGTGTGCTTTATCTGCATCATGTCATTTAATCTTCAACATTACTACTGTTATTCTCGTTTCAAACATGGAGACCATGAAGCACAAGAGGATTAACAAATCACCCAAGGATGCATTCAACTGGTGAGCTGATGCCACAATCCACATTCTTCTCAGCCTGCAGAATGGGTGGTGACCTTGCTATTTGGCTCATGTTAAACAATTAATTTTGAGAAAGAGAAAAGCAGCCCCCAAGAGCCTGGGGCTAGTGGCTGATGCTCTCAGGGGGGCCCTGATGGTGGGAGACACGGGAGAGCACCCAGAGCTTAGCTGTAGGGTTCTCCCGCGGAGCATAAACAAGCTCACAGAACACTGAGATCAGACCAGGTCACTCAGACAAGGTTACTACAGTGAAATGGGATCCAGAATCCCTTCAAAACTACTCTACAATCTGTTTAAGCACAGACAAAAGCAAGGCTACTGTGCAAACTACCAAAAATATCAAATCCTCTCCCGGACAACATGAATGACAACTGACTTTTGAAATCAATTACAATTTTAGCTTTATTTCATGCCTCCATTCTTCAAAATAAAATTTACAAATATATTTAACCACACAAATTCCCTCACCTCCTGGCAGCATTTAATCTCCACCAATTTTCCATTCCCTTGAAACCTTCCTCCAAATCAGCTAACATAATCCAAAATTCTATGCCAAGTCGTCCTTAACACCTTTGTGATAAGACTCCCCACGGTTCCCTGGGTAAGGGTCCTCTCTGTTGCAATATGCAACAAACCCAACCTGTTCAACAGTAAGGGGATCACTGTGGTCTCTGGGTGGAAACCACCGACAACTCCAGCTGGAAAAATAGAAGAGTAAATGGAAAGGTTTGCAACCGCAGGTGGCAGAAGAAGGTGGGACTGTTTATAAGAACTTTCTCCCCTCTCCCCTTCTTCCCCTCCTCCTCTTCTCTCTCTCTCCTTCTATCTCTCTCTCAGACCCAAAACACACAGACATACAAAATACAGGAGGAAGAAAAAGGTTTCTCTCAGTTCCTCCTATATAATCTTCAGGGACCAGTCTTAAAACCACCTACAGAAATATTATGACACTTTAGCTACCATCACTCTCCCATAAGATTATAACAAGCATCCATGGAATAGGATGTGTAAAGCAGAAAAAAAAAAAAAAAAGTCTGCTGTATAGGTAGGTTCTTTGCAAAAGAGCAAAAGGCAGTTATACAAAGGCCATTACTCAAGGAGCAACTAAAGGGTTTGCCTGTTCCAAATAACTTTCAGTGCTCCGAAACTGTGCCAGACATTCTTATCCCCACTAACCAGAATTAAAGGTCCATGACACCAGATAGCTCCTGCCAAGAAGAAAATATGGAGGTCACAGCTGTCAATCATGTTAGGGGGAAGCAGGACTTTCAGGGAGCGAGGAGGTTCTAATGTGAAAGACAGGAATATGCCATCAATGAAAAGAAAGAACTTTAAAAATGGCTTCTCCTGGGTGAAGCGAATCAAGAGGGTAGCCCCTCTGTCAGGGTCACAAGAACCAGAAAGCTCAGTAACGGAAACATGCAGAACCGTCATCTGCCAGGCCCTGCCCATGGGAGCAAGAAGCTTGTTTTCAAGCCTGATTTTCACCTTTAGGCAAAAACAATAGCAGAAATGTGAAACTCATAGCAAAAATCTCAAATTTGATAGTCAAGAATTTGTTTAACTAGGAAAATACAACCATATTGTTCGTTAGATTCTTGACCTGAATGATTTTTGCTCTGCCATGTAAAAGGTGACAAAGACTGGTGTCACAGGTGATTTTGTAGGGCTGCTAATGTGTTTTATGATTTAGACTAATACAAGATCTTTAATATATCAGAAATGACATAAACTGACATAATATTTTTGAACCATTCCAAATAATGATTTGCAAAACTCTACACCACATTAAAAATTTAGCCTGATAATTCAAACATCTGCACAATTCCATTCTTCCTCAATACAACTTACATTTTTATTCCATTGTAAAAGACATTAAAAACTTTGAGTTTTGAAAATATGTAAGATTAATAATTTATACCTCCAGTAGTAAAGAAAAACTGAGCCATCCTTATATAATAGAATGATTTAGTATAATGTGATACTAACCCACCAGGTCATCGACTCTCTTCAGAGTCATTATGATACATCCTGACAACTGTTTTAATTATCAAACACTGTACCTGTGAAAGTCTTCTCTATGAGAGAAACAAATGGGCCACACACCCAGACCATTTAAAGTCCACTTTCAAATGCAAAATGCACTTTTCTTGCTGAAACTAGCAAAAATTAATATTTTGAAAAAACTAGAAAGATGGGAATGGGGGATTTGATGTGTAAAGTCCTACTTTGTTATCTGAAGTATAACAATTTTACTATATTAACATTCATATTTTGCCAAGGATCCTTATTATTAGCTATGAGCACTAAGTCATATGATGTCATAATAGATGGTAAGATTGTACACAGATTGAAACATTAATTTTTAAAATCATTCAAGGTGGTCTAGATAGATTTACACCTAGTAGTTTATTAAATTTGCAAGCCTGTAAAGTGTTTAGAAATGAACCAGCTTCATGGGGCTCTGTACAATAACACTGCACTGAAGCAGCTTCTCTAAGATGCTGAAAATTAGGCCATGAATACAACCACCCCAGAGGATGTCAAATACATCAGAATAAACTACACGTTAATGGCAAGCTTATATTTTTAGGCCCTCATTTTAGGGAGCCTATTAATTATTAATATGACACTGATTAATTTATTTCCTTTTGTCAAGCCTGCAAATCTACCACAATTTGAGTATTACATTAAAAAGTCACAGCACAGTACTTCTTAAAAATTATAATTGATATTGAAGTTTCAGTTCCCGCATTCAAACTACTGTGGTATACGAACAACAAAAAAAGAAACACAAAGACCCGGCATATTCATTTGTATACTACTTGCTTCTTATATTTGGTTTCCGACTGTATTTTAACTTTTTTTTTCCCTCCCACTCATATTCTATTAATTTTGGTCGCAGTTAATATAGATGAGTAGTACAATGGCATCTTTAAATTGTTTTTAAAGATCATTTATTAAACTGATATAGCAATTTACCCCAATGTGACCTCTAGTTGCTTGGCTTGGGTATTATTCCATATATATGAAAATTTGATGGAGATCCTTTGTCAAGAACTATATAATTTTAATGAAGAGACAAAAATATCCCTCACCCAAAGCACTGACCTAAATTAGACATTAATTTTCCAGACTCTCATAGAGTCTCCTTAATTATATTACTTCTAACCATTTTAATGGTACCGTATTGCCTAGAAGCGCAGAGAATTCCATTTGGTTCCCAAATGAGAAACTTCACGTAAATCTTTTCCCCAAATATATGCAACTCCACACAGATTACAGCAGCAAGCAAAGCTAATCTGACTAAATAATACAGAGATACCAATCCCAAAAAGACCCCTCCCCATCTCTCAAAGACCAGATAAGTCTTATAACTGTGTTACACAAAGACTCATCATCCATTGAAGACACCCAGCAAACTTGGGATCCATTTCAAGTCTTTTATATTTTTCTCAAAATGCATTTCCTCAGAATACACTGATTTATCTGGAGTGGGCAAGAGAGTCATGGAAGGAAATTTCTATTCCCCTACAACTATCATTTTGGTTAATAAGAACTGCTAGTGCTGGAGCCATATTTAAAAGAAAATTGGAATCCAGTTCCTCTAAGGAAGAGATAATCTTATTAACTCAAGTATTCATTTGTTAAACAAATATTAATTTGGGGGTTAAGCATAAAATTTTACAGGGAAGGGACAGAGAGAGAATGAAATCTTTCAAACCCATATGCTTTGCCTGCAGGAATACACTTATTACCTGCTGTGATGTCACTGGGTAATTTTCCTGGATGGTAGAGATGCAGCTTAAGTTTTCCATCATTAAGAAAGAGGAGGAGACCCCCTGAAACCAGCTGAAGCTCCGTGAATAACAGGAGCCCAGCCTTATTCCAGGTTCGAAATTGAAAAGTGGCAGAAATCTCGTCCTCCGCAAAAGAGCCCGGCAGTGCCAAGTAACTTCTGGGGCTCAGAAAAGTCACAGGCACAGACTGTGGTTGTGAGCAAGAAAACGACACATTTCCCTGAGAAGAGAGGAAAAGGGAAAGCTTTCAGAATGACACATCACATTAGTAATAGAATCTGAACCATCTAATTACCCCTGGTTTAAAACAACATGGAAAACTGCTACCAACATAGAAATGGAATCCTTGCTATATATCTTAAAGGTTCTTCAAATCCAGTGATACACAGTCAGGCAAATCTTTCCCTGGGCTTTCTGGGTGAAATCGTCTTCTTCCCATTTCTCAAATTTCACAAAGGCATCTAACTCAATGCAATTGAATTCAATCAAAATTTATTTAAAATAATTCTTTATTTATGTCTTACTTGGTTTTCCCTTCCTACTTTTGCTGCCTTTGGCTTCAAAGCCACTCCATAACATAACCAATATTATTGAGCTACTGGTTCCCCTTCCATATTCTTTCATAATTTTCTGTTACCATTGACATATACAAATATATATTAATATATACACACATATATATGTGTATACATATTTAAGGTATGTATTCAGTTATATGTATATTCACAAACACCTAAATATATATTTGGAATACATATACCAACACACTAGACATTATTTGTTTTATAAAAATGGGAGCCATGTTTTATGCTGTTTACTGTACCATGATTTTATCATTAACAAATACCTTATGGAAATCCCTTTGAGTCATCCGGTAAAAGCCTAATTCCTACTTTTATTGATTAGGCAATATTCTACTATGTGAATGGTCAATTTTTCAGTCAATTGTTTTCTTATCAAGGGGTTTTCTCAGTGGCTCAGTGGTGAAGAATCTGCCTGCAAAGCAGGAGACGTAGGTTTGATCCCTGGGTTGGGAAGATCCCCTGGAGAAGGGAACAGCTACCCACTCCAGTATTCTTGCCTGGAGAATTCCAGGGCAGAGGAGCCTGGTGAATTACAGGCCATCAGATTGCATAGCTGGGACATGACTGAGCAACTGACACTTTCACTTCCACTAGTATGTTGTCACTTTGTTCCAAACTTTTGCCTCTCTCAACAAAGCATGAATAAGCTTCTCTATGTATTTTCAGTTCTTCAGAAGACAATTCTAAATTCAGAGCTAGTGTACCTACATTTTTTAATAAATATTTCCAGTTTCTTTCTTGAACTCCAAAAAAAGTTAAATTCTCCACATATCCAACAGTAGTACACAAAGACACACTTTTCCCCACATCCTTGGCAGCAATAGGTATTATATTTCTTTTAAATTTGCATAAATTCCAGGACAAAATGCCCATGTGATGTATCATTGTTATTTATCTTGCATTCACCTAATAAAGAATCTAAGCCTTTTTCATGGGTTTGTTGCTCTTTGGCCTCACTTTCATCCTCTGCTTATTTTTCCTTTTTTTTTTTTTTAGGTTTAACATTGCACAATACAATGTACAATGTACTACTTACATTCTTATTTTGAACCATTGTTGTTTTTTTTTTCTTATCATTATGCTCTTGTCATCAGATTTACATGTATTATTTCTTATCTAATGGTTTTTAAATAGATCTTCAAGATACATTAGAATTGCAAATTTTCATTAAGATATTATACATGAAAGATTATTTTGCTGTTAGTACTAAATACATATTTAAGGATTAAGAAAAAATGTTAAGGTCTAAACTATTTAGAAATAATTAGCATGTTCCTTAACAGGCTTCAGAAATCAAGATAAATGTTTTTATTTTTCCTGAAAATAACCTTCAACAAACCTTCTAAATATAGATTTGAAAAGTCAATGAAATCACTTTATTTAGAACAATACAAGCTGGAATTAAACTACTGGTCTAGGTTAAACAAAAACATTTGGCTATATTGTGATTCTGTTAAAAGTGAACTACCTTTCACTGCAGACAAATATTCCAGTGAATGAAACATCAAAAGCTGAAGAGTGAAATATACTGACCCATAATGTAAAGGCAATTATAAGACTAACAAACCTGGTAAAAATGGAAACATTTACCACCTGCATTTGGACAGCTGTCTGCTAGCTACTCTGCAAGGAGCAAATTCTCTTGGCAATGAAGAGCTGGTGTTAGCTACATGAGCAGCTTCTGGAAAGTCATTTTGCAATGAAACACTCACATCTATCTCTCTACAATAGTTTTATTTTCCATCTAAATCCTTTCCCTTTTATATAAAAAAAACTATTTAAAAAATCTTGCTGGATGGTGTGCTCATATAAACACTATCAATTCACACAGAGAATTAAAAATAAAATATTTTATAAGCAATAAATAATCCTGTGATGTGCTCTGGGTTTTACTGACACAACATGAGCTTTATTATTTATTCTGAATTTTGAACAATTAAAGAAATGTATTCAAATGGTTGGAAGTGTCTGCTTTTCTATCAGCAAGCGGGTTAAGCTGGAAACCACGTTTCCCAGAATCTCTTTTTTTGTCTGGGTCCAGTTAAAAGTTAGCCAAAGAGGGAGCTGAGGACACCTGAGTCAGAAGTGAAAGGCGGGCCACTTTCCCCAAAAGGTTTTCTGTGTGTGATGAAGTCCAGGGAAGGATGACGACAGAGGGGCTGGTGACTATCCCAGCGTGTCCTGCCTCTTTCACTCTGCTCTGCTCCATCTCTCCTTCCAGACAGCTGACCTCCAGCCATTACAATCCAAGTCCTAAAACAGACCCCTTGTCCCTAAACCCACAACAGTGCTGCTTCTCTGCCTGCACCCTGACCAACACAGTTGTATTTAAATTCCAGCACATTTCCACAGAATCAGAACATCATGCAGCCTGACCAGCACTGCTCTTGGCAGATGCAATCCTGTGAGAGTCTATTAGTTTCTTTTATTAGTTATGAATGACCGTGGCAAAATACCAATTTTTCAACCACTTCTCTAATATACGTGCATGTTATCTGATTCCAGGAAACCAGTATGCTGCTTCGGAGAGTAAGTCAGGGAGTATCTTATTAAGGAAATTACAAAGCAAAAGAAATTAGTCTCCTGGGACCAATAATATTACAACAAAATAAAATGATCAGTTGTACCAAGAAAAGAACGTTCTTTACTTCATATAAAAATAAAATAATCATGACCTGTGAATTTTAAATGTTTTGCATAGAATTAATCCCATACATGCATATTGCCAAGCTGAGAACTGAGAATTTTTTTTTTAAAGAACAAGAGTAAGGTCTAAAATACCATGTCAATTGGGAATTCAAAATGAAGCATTTTTTTGGGGGGTGGGGGGAAAAGCCACACAGTTTTCCTTTTTTGTTAACATGAAGACTATCTTACCATAACGATCATCTGTGGGTCCTGTCGCTTGGCCAAATCAATGATATCCACTCCATTGTAAAACAGATTTTCTAAACACCCATGAAAGTGTTTATGGGGGAATGACACTGATTTTCCAGGTGCTGGAATCCCTCCAAAGCTGATCTTAGAAAGAAAAATGGCATCAATAATATTGTTTAGTGATTTTCTGATAATCTGCTTAAATAATTATGATTAGCAACTATAGCTGTAATCATCATAGATCAATTTTTCAGTACTCTACACTGCCATATTGCTAATTTCACATGAAGATTTAAAAAAAATTAAGATGCAAATTTTAAAATAAGTTTATATGCATTCAGTTTTCACTTATTAAGAGCTTGATTATTCTTACAAGTTGCTAATCAAACCTGATTTGAATATTTATTGGTTGTTGAAGAAAAATACATCCTTTTTTCCATAGTGACTGGCTTTAACAATGTAACCAATTATAATGACATTTTATTTTGTATACATTTCTGGAATATATTGATTTTTGTGCATTTGAATTGGTTATTGATGAATCAGTTAACCTATTCGTTGCTACATTCTTTCCCTAAATCTGCACTGTTCAGGAGTGCTCTTTGTCCCCCCACCTCCAAAATCATGCAACACATTCTATATTTACTTGTGGTACTGAGATCTCTTCGCGGAGATTTCCTGCATACACACTGCAGGCAAAGAAGATGACATTTCTTCACAATGATAAAGTAACATGTGAGGAGCAAAATGAAGCCTCAGTGCTATAGGCACAAAATTCACTGCTTGAGCGAGGTTACCCAGAGGAACGCTTCCTCAGGACCTTGCCTGACTCTGGAGGTGGGCTTTCTAGAGCCTGCTGCCTTCCGCGTGACCTCACCACCGAGATCGCGAAGCCTGCACGAACTGAAACGTAACCGTCACACCTCATGACCGAGGCGCAGGTCGCCGAGCTCGCCCCGGGCGCGGAAGCGACGCCTGTGCTCGTCCACCGTGAGGTTGACCTGTGTGCCCCAGCGCTGGATGAGCGCGGAGTGCCACTGCTGGTCGTCCAGCAGGCTGCCCAGGCCGGGCCCGGCCGGGGCGCCCGCCGCGGGCTCCGCGTCACCTGAGAGGGGAGAGACAGCAGCACAGCCATGACTCCCGGCTTGAGAGAGCCAGTCCCTCTTACAACCGCGGTCTCCCGCCATGCACCCCAGCCAAACGCGAGTCCGAACTGACCCCGCCTTCGAATGCAACGTCCTCTCGACCTGCTCTCATTTCTTCCACTCTTAACTCTCTTTATTAGTATTACCCATCATCACATGTTCATTCTCAATGAAAACTTCATCTTTGCTACAAACTTACTATTTTTATCAGTGACCCACCCCTTCCATCAAGATGTTTGAAAATAACTAAGTGGTTCTATCAGCACTGTGTAAGAAACATCAAATGAAGGTCCTGAATAGTTTGCAAATTACATAAAAGTGCAATACATGTATATATATACATACATACATACATATATATATACATACATACATACCCTTGAATGTGGAAATAAGATACCTTAATTGTTAAAAAAGATGAGTTGTAAAAGCATAAAGTTACTAAAGTGATAGCTAAATGACCAGATTTTCAAGCACTTTACCCAGAGAGTTTTACCTGAATTAATAAGCAAAAAGAGTTTTCCTCTTCTTAATTCCAGTGTGATGTGATCTCCATTTTGCCCTTCCCGGTGGAGTAGAATCCCATCACTCTGCATGGTTTTAAATTTCAAAGAAATTACATCCTTTATCGGGCTCAGAGATTTTTTATCAAGTCTGTAGAGAAGGCAACTTTTTCCATCAAGATCAACCACCTCTGATCCTAGACAAAGATATTAAAAGTTGATCTAAGGATAAATATGCTTTTCATTAAAGTATTTAAAAACTACATCTATGAGAGGATTATACATATACCCATACATGTATAGTTCAGCTCCAAGTCAATTATAATAATGGAAAATAAAACCACCAAACATCTAGTTCCTTCTTGACACCTGGGATTGATTCCATTTCAGGCTTTACTCACCTATTTACAAAATTCATGATCTAGAAATACATCTTGAAATGTATGCCTAATTTCTCTTATATTATTAAAGATTGTTTCTTAACCCATAAAAACACCAAGGAAAAGGTTATAATTAATACTGATAAAACCACTTTGCATATTTCATGATCAACATTTTCAGTGACTTTCTTAAATGCTGGAGTTAAATGGTTTTTTAGTTTCTGAAAAAGCAGAAGTCTTTTTATACTTTTGAAATCTCAAAATTCTTTCATATGTGTCATATATAGAAGAGATCCACATATAAATACATACACATACATAAGACTCATCAAATGCCACCCCAAATATATATTCAACTGACCTTTGTGTTATATTTTATTATTTTTGTGGCTAAATAATAGTATTTAAGAGCAATGCTGTTTTCTGTCTTCTCAAGGGTGTTGCTTGAAAGATATTCACTTAATGACATTATAAGGGCTGTTCTGCCATGTTTGTGTCATAACTGTGACATTGACAGGTTTTTTCAGCTTTCTGACAGTGTCTTATCTACTCATTGTCAAGATCACTTTTATTCAGTTCATCTGAAAAAAGATGTCATGTTATACCAGTAACATAACAGTACATCTGTCAAAATCAGTTGCACCCTGAGCAAGAGACACAAAAAAGAGCTGATAATACTCAGAAAGCCTAGTAGCATTTCCTACATTTCACAAATCAAAGATTTTTTTTAAAAAAGCAATTACCCTTGAGAATGCATTTATGTAATAAATGAAGAGGTTAGGGAAGCCCAATAAAATAGGAAGCTATTTTTCAACTGGTTAGGTGACTTCTCCCAGTCAACAGAATGACATTACAGTTTACTCATCTTGTTTCATTCGACAAAATTATTACATCAACTTGTATGCTCAAATATGCATTTCATTCAGATTATCCATCATATTTAATGTGAACCATTTACATTCACCACCACCCAAAATTTTTTTCAACTATTTTATGCAGCTATCTTTTGGAAATTCAGAGGTTTGATTTTTCCACATCTTGTTAATGTGCTTATAAAGAATTCATTCACCAAGTGCACATGAATAAACATTGCATTCTGTAGAAAGAATAATGTTAACCGAACAATTATTCCTTGTTATATAGCTGAATGAATGTGCATGACACAAACATAACTCTGTGTCAAATACAAATAATGTGTCCTATGATTATTAGATTACAATAAATTAAGAAAAATTCCAGTAAGACAGACCTTAAATGCTGACACATTTGGAGCAATGCAGTTATCTCTGAGTTAATGCATCGCTTAAAGGCAACCATCATTATAATGATTTTATTTCAGATAAAGTCTATCTTTGGAATTAGCTACCAAGAGATTTTTTTTTTCTCCAATGAGGGACTAGCCTGGGATACTTCAGCCTTCTATTTCTTTTTCCCCCTCTTCTTCACTATAGTTATTACATTATAATGGTCATATTAGCCTTTCATTGCACCAAAAGCTTTGTGCCAGGAATATGTCCATCAGCAAAATGGGATAGTGAGAAACATATTAGACTACTGATGCCTAAGGCAACGGTATACTATTTCTCTTAAATGGAAGCCACTTGCCATTTTCTCTTGCCCTGACCTATTATGTTCTTAATTCACAGGTATCACACTATGTAATTGGACCCATTCATTAAATAAACACATATTTAGGCCATCTAGTTTGAGGCCTGTGATAGATGTGATAGATTGAGGCCCTGTGATAAAAAGATGGGCCGACACCAACATGGTCCTTGTCCTCACGGAAGTTACACTCAGTGAAGACAGACAAGCAGCATGTGAAAAAGTACATTCATAAACCATCACAGACTGTCAGAGGCATTCTGGTCAAGACTAAAAGAAGCCTGGGATCACTTTAGTTAAGGGAGTTGGGAAGCTCAGTTCTGAGGTCTAGAAACCTGAGGCTGAAGCAGAGGGTAAGCAATAATCTTCTTACTCTTGCCAGACTTAAAGTCCTAAACTTGTCCCCATAAAATAGGGGGACAAGTTCTACTATTATGTTTAATATTAAGATGGCTGGACATTCTCCGAACACAGTCTTTCCTTCACTGTCCTGAAAGGAAGCTCTGAGGTTGCTGAGAAACCCCAGGGGCAGTCAGTAACTCAGCTCTCAGAAGGAGAACTTAGGAGGGGGGCGGCTACCCTTAAAAGGGGGCCCGAAAGCCAGAAGGTAGCAAAATAGAGGATTCAACAAACTCATTACAATCACATCACCGATCTCACATCCATGTGAACAATACCCTCCGGGAAAAAAAAGCAAAAAACAATTCAGAGCGTGAGCACAACGTCAGTACAGGGAAACTTCACATCACATCCATGCAACATATGTACCAGGATTCTCACAAAACAGGAAATTCAGGATGGTTCCTAACAGTATTACTTTAGACAGAAAGCTCATTTATAAAAGCTATTTACAGAATTGATCTGACATATTAAAAGCATATGATTTTAAATAATACCGATAAAATGCTGTGCTATGATTAAAAACAGTTAATGACATAAAAATCTGGGACTATCTGAAAAAAATAATCTTCTGAGAGACAGAGGGAGAGAGAGGGAGAATCTAAATTTTCTCCAAGGATGCTGGTCAGAGAGAGGTCTCTTTGGAAAGCAATGTTACCACTGCTAAGAAAACTGGAAAAACTGGAAAATAAATCAAAGGAATAACTTCATGTCCTCTCAATGTCATTCTGGAGCTTTTTAAAAGAGTCCTGTCTAAGGATTACTTAATTCTAGGTGAATTCACAAATGTCTAATTTTACTATTTATTACTGATCAGGGCCAGACTCTAAGTTACATATTAATTTATAGGGTTTTTTTTCCCCCAGTAGAGATGTAAATAACTTCCATTCTGGCAGAAAATATATCCCCAGATATTTTGGTTTTATTGCCCTGTCGGGCATTAACCATTCGTGTACTTAACCTAGTGACAGTAATCCAACATTCTTAGATTCCTATATACACTCAGTCTCTCAAATTTTCTTTGGACTAGCTTTACCAGTCTTTGGATTTCTTCTCTAATAAATCAAATGTACCTTTGATATACCTTTATGCTCTACTTGGATCAATACAGAACTACCATCTGACCCAGCAATCCCATCCCTGAGTATATATCCAGAGAAAGCTATAATTCAAAACAATACATGCAACCCAATTACAGCACTATTCACAATAGCCAGGACATGGAAAAACCTAAATGACCATTACCAGAGGAAAGAATAAAGAAGACTTGGTACATATATGGTAGGATATTACTCTGCCATAAAAAGAGAATTAAATAACGCCATTTGTAGCAACATGGATAGACCTAGAGATTACCATACTAAGTGAAGTAAGTCAGAAATAGAAAGACAAATATCATATGATAACACAAATATATGGAATCTAGAAATATGGTACCAATGAACCTATTTTCAGGGCAGCAGTGGAGACACAGACATAGAGAACAGACTTATGAATATAGTGGGGGAAGAGGGTGGGCCAAATGGAGATAGTAGCATGGAAACATATATACTACTATGTGTGAAATAGATAGCCAATGGGAATTTGCTATATGACTCAGGGAACTCAAACTGGAGCTCTGAGACAACCCAGAGGGGTGGGATGGGTAGGAGGCGGGAGAGATGTTCAAGAGGGAGAGGACATGTGTATATCTGTGTCTGATTCATGATGATGTATAGCAGAAAACAACACAATATTGTAAAGAAATTATCCTGCAATTGAAAACAAACAAACAAACACAAACAAACAAAGAACCTCAAAGAAGCAGCACAAATTTAAAAACAAACAAATAAACAAACCATTGCATGGTACTGGCAAAAGGACAGACACAAGAGATCAATGGAACAGAATAGAGAGTCCAGAAATAAACCGACACTCATGTAGTCAATTAATCTACAACAAAAGGGGCAAGAATACACAATGAGAAAAAGACAGCCTCTTTAGTACATGGTGTTGAGAAAACTGGACAGCTGCCTGCAAAAGAATCAAACTAGACCACTTTCTTAGACTATGTGAAAGAATAAACTGAAAATGAATTAAAGACTTAAATGTAAGACTCAAAACCATAGCACTCCTAGAAGAAAACATAGGCAGTAAGTTCTCTTACACAGGTTTTGTCAATCTTTTTTGGATATGTCTCCCAAGTCAAGGGCAACAAAAGTAAAAGTAAACAAATTGGACTACATCAAAATTAAAAGCTTTTGCACAGTGAAAGAAATCACCAGCAAAATAAAAAGGAAACCTACTGAACTGGCAAAATATTTGTTAACAATGTGTTCCATAAGGGGTTGATATCCAAAAAATTATAAAGAATTAATACAACTCAATATACAAAAAGCAAACAACCCAATTAAAAAATGAACAGAGGAATTGATAGATATTTTTCCCAAGAAGAGATACTGATGTCCCACAGGCACAAGAAAGATGCTCAGCATCACTAATCATCAGGATAATGCAAATCAAAACCACAATGAGATACCACCTTACACTTGAATAGATATCCAAACTCTGGAAGATAATGGAGTACAGAGGAAACTGGTGTGCTGCACTCCACGGAGTCACAAAGAGTTGGATTCCACTTAGGAACTGATAAGTGAAAGTGAAAAGTGAAAGTTGCTCAGTCATGTCTGACTTTTTGTGACCCCATGNACCAGCCCAGGTTGGATGCATGAGACAAGTGCTCGGGCCTGGTGCACTGGGAAGACCCAGAGGGATCGGGTGGAGAGGGAGGTGGGAGAGGGGATCTGGATGGGGAATACATGTAAGTCCATGGC